TTGCACTAGAAGTTGCCTTGGAGGGTTGATCGGAGCTGGCCTCATCTCAACCAGTTCAGACCCCCCTACCGCCTCGAGCAAGCACCTGCTTTCGGAGGTCCGCGTGGGTTTTTTTGTCTGCCCTCGAGATCCCCATCTTCCAAAGCGCGTGAGGGGGGGTCAAGTGCCGACCCAAGTTTAACTTGTGTTCCACAGGCCTCGTCGTGTCCCAGGCCGAGTCAGCCTGACAGAGCTGTGTGAGCAGGGGCCTGTTATGTTTAAGGCATTCACCCCCGAATGACATGGTCAGCTATAGTCATGTGCCGATATGAGTTACCATGCAATTACTCTCTTCGACGGCGATGGAATCGTCGACCTCTCTCAGTCTCGGTTCCCGTTATGTGCCAGCGTGCCCGGACAGGCCAGCATTGGCGCCCGCCGACGCATGATAGAAATGGACGGCATGGAGTACCAGCTCTTCGTCCCGCGTGGGTGGCCTTGGGCGGGCTGTGTGCAATGAGCAGGCTGGCCAGCTTTCGGCCGAGTCCTTCTGGGATTGTCCGGCTCCGGTTCGGTTGGCTCGCGGCACTCCTCAAGGTGCAGCATGCCAGACGTTGTCGCGGGCGAGTGCCAGATCAGGGAATGCCTGCCCGGTATTGTTTTGGATTCATTTGGCACCGGTTCCCAGGGCGTCCTCGACGAGCGCCTCCTCATCCTCATCTTGATACTCCTTCTCCTCTCTTTCTCTCCTTCTTCTTCTTCCTGGCCCTCCCTCTCCCCGCCCTTCTACAGTAAGGAAAACACTGTTGGTATTGACCCCCTCAACGCATGTTGACATTCTGGAACGGCGCGCGCGCGCACGCGCAACGCGCTCAGGATCGGGCTCGGGCTCGGTCTCCGGCTCGCGCTTGGGCTTCGGGTCAGGGTCGGGCTCGCGCTCGTTGCTGCTGCTGCTGCTGTTGCTGCTGTTGCTGTTGACGCTGCTGCTGTTGCAACAACAACACTTCCTGAAATTCATTCCCAAATCGCGCTCTTGCGCGGGACGTCCTCACAATTTATGCAGGAATCGCGCTCTCGCGTGGGACTTCCTCGCAACTTATTCAGACGCCGCGCCATCGACACTCAGGAATCACGCTCTCGCTGTGGATTTCCTGACGATTTATTGCGCAGGCTTTACGGCCGGTGCCGCCGACCCTGAAGGGGGACGTCGACGACGACGGCGGTGGTGGCGGCGGTGACGACGACGACGCTGACGTGGGCCCGAGTCCTCAGGGATGCTTCTTGGGGTCTCTTGGGAACGCTCTCGGGGGCCTCTGGGGAGGAATTTTGGGGTCTCTTGGGAGCCTCTTGGGGGCCTCTTGGGGGCCTTTTCGGGTGTCCTGTGGGCCTCTTGTGGGCTTCTCGGGGCCTCTTGGGAATCTCTTGGGGCCTCTTGGGAGCTTCTCGGGGCCGAGCGTTCGGGTTTCCCGTCAAGACACGCTCTTGGAGCAGTCTTGGGGGCCTCTTGGGCCGTCTTGGAGGCGTTTAGGGCTATCTTGGGGTTCTCTGGGGATGTTGTGGAGCGCTCTTGGCAGCTTCTTGGGCCGTCTTGGGGCGATCTTGAGGGCCTCTTCGGCTGTCTTGGGGCGGCGGGAAGCAGAAAAGGCGAGAACGCCGAAATATGTCAAACACCTAACGAAAATCAGTTATTTTTGCGTCTTGGGGCCCTCTCAGGAGTGCCTTTGGAGGCCTCTTGGGGCCCCCTTGGGCACCCTGTGGAAGAGTCTTGGAAGTCCGGGGGCCTCTTGGAGGTCTCGTGGAGAATTCCTGGGGACTTCTTTGGGCTTCCTGGTCCGCGCGGGGGTTCGGGACCTCGCGGGGACCGCGCGAGGGTTCGAAACCGCGCGGGGGGGAAAGCGTATTTGGGTGGCGACCCTTCCGGGACCCCCCCGGGACCCGCTCGGGCCCCCCCCCCCGCGCGGGGAAGGGATCAAAGGGAAGGGGCTTCCCTTCGATTCGATTACGACATTGCGATTTTTTTTTCCGCAGGAGGGTGCAGGGAAAGGAGGCGACGCAGACGACGACTGATGGAGACGACAATTCGAACAGACAGCCCCTCGCATACGCCGACAGGGTCGGCGGATTTGGGAATCGCGCTATCGCTCGATATTTCCTCGCGATCCATGCAAGACTCACGCTTTAGCAACCCGCCTGCTCGACCTTGCCGCTTGGGCCCGCCTTCCCGACCCGCCCGCTAGAGTCGGCCCGCCCGACCTGCCCGTCTGGTTCTGCCACGTGTTTTCTGCTCCTAGTTCCCCTCCCTACTCTCTCTCGTGCTCGCTCCTCCTCCCTCCCCCCTGTCGCTTCCTTCCATCCGACCTCTCTTTCCTGCTTTAGGGGCTGCATGAAATACATGTTGCAGGCAAGAAATATTAAAACCCCCAAGGGGGTACGATCAAAGACGAGGGCGGGTATCGAGGGTTTGAAATATCTGTGTTGACTTGGCCGCGAGCAGATAAGAGGCAGCAGTTTCAACATTGTTGTTGTTGTTGCTGTTGCTGTTTTTAAAATATTTTTTTTTGTTGATCCCCCTCTGCGGTAACCGTTGTATTTTTCAGTTGCAGTGCCTCTCCCAGGGCTCGCGCCCTGTTTTTTACACGGGATAGTGAGAGGTCACCAAACTATGCCCTCGGCCCTCGGTTTACAACCACAACGGCTCCCGCCTGATATTTCCATACCAATTTATTCCCAAGTCGCGCTCTCGCGCGGAAATTCTTTGCAATTTATACAGGAATCGCTCTAACGGGTGGGACTTCTTCGCAGTTTATCCGTAAGGGCTTCGCCCCCTGCCGCCGGCCCCCTCTCTCGGAGAATGGGCCATGGAAGAGCTAAGTCATGAGGCCTTGGCGCTGTCGTGAAGCAGTATCGAAACTTCATGCGAAGCCGATTCGCAATCAGCAAAACCAACTGATCACAAGAGGGGTTACCACACCTGGCGATTGGTAAGACGTGTATGGTTTAAGGGCTTGGTTACCACACCTTGCGATGAAAGGGCCGAGGGAGTTCTCGCAGTTTGGGTTACCACGCCTTGCGATGGATGTGCGTGATGGGTTCGAATTTCAGAAATGTGGCAAATCCCATGTGTTTTTGGACCCTGACCCCGCGGATCTGCGTGAGGGGTGGCACCGAATTTCAGAAATGTGGCAAATCCCTGTGTTTTTGGACCCTGACCCCGCGGATCTGCGTGAGGGGTGGCACCGAATTTCAGAAATGTGGCAAATCCCCATGTGTTTTTGGACCCTGACCCCGCGGATCTGCGTGAGGGGTGGCACCGAATTTCAGAAATGTGGCAAATCCCATGTGTTTTTGGACCCTGACCCCGCGGATCTGCATGAGGGGTGGCACCGAATTTCAGAAATGTGGCAAATCCCATGTGTTTTTGGACCCTGACCCCGCGGATCTGCGTGAGGGGTGGCACCGAATTTCAGAAATGTGGCAAATCCCTGTGTTTTTGGACCCTGACCCCGCGGATCTGCGTGAGGGGTGGCACCGAATTTCAGAAATGTGGCAAATCCCATGTGTTTTTGGACCCTGACCCCGCGGATCTGCGTGAGGGGTGGCACCGAATTTCAGAAATGTGGCAAATCCCATGTGTTTTTGGACCCTGACCCCGCGGATCTGCGTGAGGGGTGGCACCGAATTTCAGAAATGTGGCAAATCCCATGTGTTTTTGGACCCTGACCCCGCGGATCTGCGTGAGGGGTGGCACCGAATTTCAGAAATGTGGCAAATCCCATGTGTTTTTGGACCCTGACCCCGCGGATCTGCGTGAGGGGTGGCACCGAATTTCAGAAATGTGGCAAATCCCTTGTGTTTTTGGACCCTGACCCCGCGGATCTGCGTGAGGGGTGGCACCGAATTTCAGAAATGTGGCAAATCCCATGTGTTTTTGGACCCTGACCCCGCGGATCTGCGTGAGGGGTGGCACCGAATTTCAGAAATGTGGCAAATCCCTTGTGTTTTTGGACCCTGACCCCGCGGATCTGCGTGAGGGGTGTCGATTTCGAGCCCCCCCAGCAATTCAGACAACGCGCCCAGGTGAGGCTAAAAATCTTGTTTGGGCCTCCCCCCCCCTCGCGCGGTCAATCAACTAGTTACAGTAACCAGCAAGAAGTCAACTATTTACAGTAACCAGCAAGAAGCAGAACTGTAACACTGGAAACTACAACCTACGACTGGTACAGGAAACTGCGAATCACGCGCCTCGCAGCCTGGTGGCCCCACAAGGGGGCCGGCGGATTCAGAAGCCGCACCCTCGACACTCAGGACTCACGCTCTCGCTGTGAATTTCCGCACGATTTATTTGGGAATCGCGCTGTCGCTCGAGACTTCCTCGCGATTCATGTAGGGCGCACGCTTCAGCAACCCGCCTGTCCCTTGTCCCTTCCTTCCATCCGCTTCCCCTGCCTTAGTGGCTGCACGAGATACACGTTGCTGGTAAGAAAGATATGCCCTTAAGGGGATACAGTCGAAGACGAAGAGGGCGGGTATCAAGGGTTTTGGATATACGTGTTCAGTGGCACGCGAGCAGATAAGAGCGCACAGTCTTAAACACATATTGTTTTTATGGTGGTGGTACTTGTTGTGGTTGTGGTTGTGGTTGTGGTTGTGGTTGTGGTTGTGGTTGTGGTGGTGGTGGTGGTGGTGGTGGTGGTGGTGGTGGTGGTGGTGGTTGTTGTTGTTGTTGTTGTTGTTGTTCTTGTTGAATGTTAATACTAAACAGTTATTATGGATGGACCACTTATAGGCGCCCTGGCGCTCTCGCCGAGGCGCCGGCTGCATTTTCATTGAAAATGAGGCTCATTCTCAATCGGTTTGGGGGACCGCCAAAACCGGCCCGCAAACAACAACAACGCTCCCGTTCGAGACTTCCTCCTTTTTTTGCTCAGGGCCGGTGCTCTTGCTCGCCGCCGAAAGCAGCCGTCTCAACAAAACCAGCGCTCCCGCTCGAGACTTCCTCCCGTTTTACATTGGACAGGCGCGCCATTCTTTCTCTCATCGGCGCCGCCTCCCAGCAACAACAACGCTCCCGCTCGAGACTTCCTCCCTTTTTTACTCAAGGCGGTGCTCTTGCTCGCCGCCGACAGCCCCCCTTCCGACAAAACCAGCGCTCCCGCCCGAAACTTCCTTTCGTTTTTCGCTGGTCTGGCGCCCTTTTCTCCTCCTCCTCGTCCTCCTCCTCCTCCTCCTCCTCCTCATTCTCCTCCTCCTCCCTCCTTCCCCCTCCCTCCTCTTCCTCCCTCTTCTTTCCTTCACCCCCTCCTCTTCTGCCTCCTCACTCCTCCGTCCCTCTTTTCTCCCTCCTCCTCCTTCCCCCCTTCTCCTGCCTCTCCTCCTCCTCCTCCTCCTCCTCCTCCTCCTCCTCCTCCTCCTCCTCCTCCTCGGGAAGCGGATATCAGAAAATGGAGTCATCAGGGTCATGTCGAGCTGTAGGAAGGGGTGGCCTCACCTTGTCAGAGATGCCCAGCCGAGGATGGCAGGTGGGATTCGAGGAAATCATGCGGAATGATTGATGGGGGACACGCGTAAGCAAGCAGGAGCAAATCGTGCGGCATGAGGGGGACCTGGTGGGGCAGCAGGCAGGGGCAAGTGCTCCACTGCACTGAACTGCGGGCGTGCCTCAGCCCTGTCTGCCCGAGGTGGAGCAACAACACGCTGTACCCCCACCCGACGGTCATCTACTTCCACAGTCGGAGGGGGTGCGGCCTTTTTGGCGTCGGCGATGCTGCGTGGGACCGAACGCCTGGACAGCATGGCGGCGTCCCCCCTTGTCAGGCAGCGGTCGATAGGCTTCGCGAGCGAAATTCGGTGCGCGTGGCCCGTGGCCCCGTCGCGTCGCGGCCCGCTCGCGTCTCCCGACCGAGTTCCGCGGGTGGCTTCAGGTGCTACCGTGGCCCGCGGTCTCCGCTCGTGCCCCACAGCCACAGCGCGGCCCCATCATCGTGGCCCACGGCGGAGCCTGCTGTGCAGCCCCTGGTGCAGCCTGGCCTGCACGCATGGGGTGGGCTCGGGTGCGCTGGACGACGCTCACTCGATCCGTATGACTGCTCAGCTGGCCCGGTGAAGCCGAAGTGCGAGACCGTCGAACTGTCTTGAGCTGCACGCTCAACAGTTCGCTGAGTCCGAGCTCATAGGCCGTTGGTGGGACATGCCGAGCTGCTTCCCCAGTCGTACCGCCGCGACGTAGTGGAGAGGAGACGCAATTTGGCAGTGATGTTGACCACGCTGGGGGTCGGAAGCGAGGCCTCGTCACACAAATGAACGAATGCGTGCACACGTTTCGTCCCATGGCTCGTTCTTACCGCTCCATCTTCTGCATGGCTGGAGCCATGGGCCTTCGTTTTTTTTTTTTTTTTGTTGTGTGTGTGTGTGTGTGTGTGTGCGTGCGTGCGTGCGTGCGTGCGTGCGTGCGTGCGTGCCACCTCTGTCTGCACGGCCGTGGCTGAACTCTCTCATCTCGGCGCGTTCGACTAAGTTCGTGGATGCCTGGCAGGCCACCCCCGGCCTCGGCATCCCTGCCCCTCCCTCTTCCCGCCCGCCCCGCGGGTCTGCTTCCTCGGCTCTGGCAGCTCACTCTCATGGCGGCCTGTCTGACTCACGGGCCAGTCCCCCCGCCGGCGGGCGGGTTCCTGCCTTAGCTGCTTTGTAGGCCACCGTGACCATGGCTCCTACCGCCCTCCTGGCTTGCGTTCGTGGGTCTGGCTCGCCGTACCTGTCTTGCTGGGGCGTTGCCTTGCGCCTCCCCTCCCTGCCTCTCGCTTTCGGCCGGCTGTCTCGGTCCTGGCTGCCTAGTAGGTAATGCTTGGCCTCGGCGCCGGGCACGTCTCTGCCCTGCCCGCGCCCTCTGCCCCTGCCGACCCGGCCCGGCGGCCCCCCCAAGCGGCACTCGCAGCCCTGCTTCGGGGGCCCGCCCGCGCTCACTGGCTGGTGGGCCGCTGCCCGTCGCTTCCCGCCGGCTTGGGGGTTGCCTCGCCCTTGTCGCGCTCCCCGGGCGCCTCGTAGGTCACATGTGACCTCGGCACCCTGTGCCCCCAGAGCCCGCTGCCTTCGCCCTCGCCCCCCAGGTTGCCTCGCAGGTCACCCTGACCTCGGCGCCCCTGGCCACCTCGCTGTGCTGCTTCCGCTTCCAGCTCGCGCTGGACTTGACGCCCCCCCCTCCCCTGCGCGCTTGCCCTGGCGGCCACCTTGGCTGCTACCCTCCCAGCTGCTGCCCCCGCGCTGCTGCTGGCCCCTGGCCCCGGCGCCCCCCGCCGCCGCCCGGCGCCGCTCTGAGCGGGCCCGGCCTCCTCTCCTTCCCGCCCGCGCCGGGCCTTCCTCCTCCCCCCTCACGTGCATCGTGGCATAGTTCGCATGTGTATACCTTACATATACTCTTTCCGCCAGCGCAGTCGCACTGCCTAGCCGCCGACGCAAAAACAATGTGGGTGTGCCACCACTGTCTGCACGGCTTTGGCTGGACTCTTTCATCACGGCTCGTTCTAGTAAATTCGCCCGCAATTGGCATTCCCATCTGCCGACCGCGCCTGAGGTTCCTCTGCGCCGTTGGCTTAAAAATGGGTGTGCCACTTCCCATATCACCTTCCACTCTCACCGTAGTTCCCTCTACTCATCGCCCCTCCCCGCACTCCAGGCCCAGAGGGTCATGGCTGCCGCGGGATGCGAGACCCGAAACAGTCTTTGAGAGGACGGCCGGGCTTCGACGCGGGCGCTTCACTGCTTGACTTTCCGCTCCCCGTCGCCGCGCGCGGGCCCGCGGCGCCCCCCCCAAACTGATATATATATATATATATATATATATATATATATTATATATATATATGTGTATGTATATATATATATATAGGTGTATATATATATATGTGTATATATACAGAGAGGGAGAGAGAGAGAGAGAGAGAGACACAGAGAGAGAGAGAGAGAGAGAGAAAAAGAGAGAGAGAGAGAGAGGGTGTGTCGTCTTGCATCGCAGTGTGTTTACCGAAGCAGGCGGACGAGGGGGATGGCGCAGATCGGAAGCGCCTCGAATATTGGCGGCGCGCTCCCCAATATATGCTCCGATCGTCGGGCCGCTTCTCGTGCGACGACGTCGACGCTGCTGACGACGTTAAAAACGTCGAAGACGAGTTTCTTTGCCTTTGGAAAGGTACCCGCAGCGGTCTTCTCCGTTCTTGGCCCGCCCTCCTCCCATCTCCTCCCCCTCTTCTTGCTCCGCCTCCTCGTCGTCATTCTCGTCGTCTTCATTGTGGCCCTCCGCTCCTGGGGATCCAGGGGAGAGGGATGATCATGATACGCTGCCTCGTGTTCTCTACGTCGTTTTGCTGGGTCTTATGTCATCAAGGCTACAGGTTCCTTGCAACACAGTTTTCTTGGTTTTCATGCATATTTATGTATCATACCGTTGGTGTTGCGGATAGGCTGGTACACCCACCCAGGCTTGCCAGGTCTGACAGTCTTTCTTGAGGTCTGCTTCACATTCCCTGTTGCATCGTCGTGTGCGTTCCATCTTCTCCCTCCAATATATATATATATGTATCTATATCTATATATATATAGCTATATATATATATATATCTATCTATATATATATATATACTCAATAGATACTTTGGCGCGTCACTGTCGCTACCCGGTCCCCACCCACCCTTGGTAACAGAAACTTTGATGGGGGGGGGCGCTTGGACCCCCCCCCCATGCTGGTGCCCGCGTGCACACGGGCGATCGTTTCGCACCCCCGCCCCGACGCGTCCCCTCACCGCAGGTAGCGGCCATTCCCAGAAGTTATAAGAACACGTTGTCCCCATCTTCCCTGGGGCAGCATGTCCGACGCCACTCGCGGCCTGGATTATCGGGAGCGGAAAAGAGGGGGGTGATGACTAGGGGGGGGTGGATTTCATGGCGCGGGCCATGATTTTTCCTCAGATTTCATGGCGCCTCTTCTTATTTTGTTACGTCCCAGGCCCCCCCGCTGGGCGCGCACGTGCCGCCGGTCATGACTTGCACCCCCCCCTCTTGGACACCCCCCTCTTGGCCGCTCCCGAGATTAGTGAGGGGAGGATGAGACTCTCTACGATAACTGCCTCGGGTTCCATATGGTCTGCGCTGATCCCAGACAGACGACCACGCCTTCGTCTCTAGGTCCGGATGCTTGTCCTCGAAGCTGGGGCTCCCGCTCCGGGCATGCCTGGGGCCCGTGTCTCAGTTTCACTGGCCTGTGAGCCAAGGTCAGCTTAAGCTTGAGGTCTTGGTTCTCGTGTGTCCCAGATCTGAGGCAGTAATCTGACTGCAGAGCTCGGACCTCTGCTTTCGCATGAAGTGCAGGGTGTCAGTTTGGCCTCCGGGTCTCATGATGAGCAGCGCCCATTGGAGAGACTGGACACAAGGTCGAGGTATAGTACTGATAAGACGGGATAGGGATCTCGGGGGAAGGTCATCCAGAGCGCAAGTGGAGCCTGATGAACTCGGAGAGCTTGCCTCGCATGTTGGCCAGGACTCAACGAGCGCAGACGCATGGTATGCAGTTGGGGGAGAAAGCAGGGCGATGTATACAGAGAGAGGGAGAGAGAACAAAAAGAGAGAAAGAGAGAGAAAGGGAGAGAAAGAGAGAGAGAGAGAGAGAGCGAGAGAGAGAGAGATAAATATTACAGACAAAGAGAGAGGAGAGAGAGTGCGGGAGTGAGAAACAGTGTGAGAGAGAGGGAGAGAGAGAGAGAGAGAGAGAGAGAGAGAGAGAAAAAGAAAGAGAGATAAAGAGAGAGCGAGAGATTGAGAGTGCATGCGTATAAAGCGGCGCACAGCAGCTTAATGATATTCTTCTGTCTGTTATTGTTGTTTTTTGTAGTTGCGGTTGTAGTTGAGGTTTCATTATTTTTGTTCCCCCCTCACCTGTGCACATGGTTTATTCCAACTGAAGCGCCCCCCTCGGGGCTCGCACCTTGTTTTTATCAAGGGAAGTCTGCCTGTTCAAACTGGGTTGTTGGGTGCCGAACTACAACAACAACGGCTTCCGCTAGATAGTTCCTCACAATTCATTACAAAATCGTGCTCTCGCGCGGGACCTCTGCACAATGTATGCAGGAATCGCGCATGGTACTTCCTCGCAAATGATTCAGACGCCGCGCCTTCGACACTCAGGAATCACGCTCGGCCTTTCTCACGATTTACTCGGGAATCGAGCTATCGCTTGAGACTTCCTCGCGATTCATTCAGGACGCACGCTTCAGCAACCCGCCTGCTCGACCTGGCTCGGCCCGCCTTCCCGACCCGCCCGTTAGGGTCTACCCGCCCGATCTGCCCGTCTGGTTCTGCCACGTGATTTTTTCTAGCCCCCCTCCTGCTAAGCTCTCTTGTGCTCCATCCTGTTCCCCTCCTTCCATCCGTCTCTTTTCCTTCGTTTTAGTGGCTTCGTCCGTAGCCTGGCTCCAGCCGCTCTGGCTCAAGTGCCGAGCCGGCAGCTCGCCGTGCCGGGGGTGGCCCCTGCCTCCGGCTCGCCTGCCGTGGGGGGGCTGGGAAGAAGGGGGGCCCCGTCCCAGCCTCCCCCCCCCTTCCGGTGCCATGCTCGGCGCCCGCCGGCGCCGCCAGCGCCGCGCGGCCACCTTGCGCGGCTCGCCGCCCGCAGGGCCGGCGCCGCTGGCCGGCCCGGCTGGCTCTGCCGAGCCTGGCCCTGCGGCTGCCGCCCCTGGCGCGCGCGCCGCTGCCGCCGCTGCGGCCCCCGCCTGCGGCCGTGGCGCTGCGGGCCGCGCCTGCGGCGCGGCGGCCGCGCGCCGCACGTCGGCCACGCCCGCCGCCGCTGCCGCGGCCGTCTCGGCCGCCGTCGCCCGCGCGGCGGGCCCCTGGCTCGGCGGCGGCTGCCGCCGCCGCTGCGGCTGCCGCCGCGCCGGTGGCGCTGCGCGGCCGCGGCCGCGGTGGCCTCTGCTGCCGCCGCGGCTGGCGCGCGTGCCGAGGGTCCCGCGTCGTTCGGGGCACGCGTCGCGGCGCGTGGCGTGCAGTCCTCCGTGGCCTTCTAGGGCCCTGCCGGGTCCTCGGCTACGTTGGTGCAATTGCTGGGAAGAATGCCGGGGGTGAACGCAGTTGCGGAGGCGAGGCGGTGTTTCCCAAGGCCGCGAGTCGGCCCATAGCAGGTGCTCGCGACATTTTTTACAACGGGCCCGGAGTCCATAAAAATGCATGTGCACGTCTACGAGGCGCAACAAATGCACTGCTATTGTGAGCTACACTACACCACGTGCATCGTGAACGATGGCCATACAGCGAGCGCGCCTGGGAGGCACACGGGATGCCGCTGATGCGGCCAGTTTTTCAACATCGAGGTTTTTCATATTGGGCCTCCAAATCGTTCGCTTTAATTGTCATGATGGTCCCTTTGGTCACAGCTGCCCTTGTCCACGTTGTCGCTATGGGCATTGATCCACGTAGTCGGCAGTGTTCTAACAGGTCTTGCTGTTCAAGGGTGTCGTCAGCCTGCCATCCCATCATGTGGTTCGCGGTGCAGGTCTTTTGCGTCGTCGCCATGGGCTGCTTCACCTTGCTGTGCGAGGCTTGCTGGTCCACCTGTTCTTGCTTCTGTCATCATGTAGCCTTATGCTGCTAGTCCAGCACTGGCAGGCGGCGTCTCTGTGCTGTTCGCTGTCCAACGTGAAGCCGGTCCCCGTGAATTTGAGTAGTTTTGTTGTCCATTATGGCCTTCGCGATGCGTCGAACTTGTGTTCTAAGTTGGCCTCCCGTGTACGTGGATTTAGCGTGGGGTGATTTCGCCGCTCTCGGTTGAGTCTTACTACTTGCGGAATGTCGACCTTGCCGTCTTCATCGGCGTCGACGGGCATGTTATACCTTCGGGCATGCGCCAAGGGCTCCAGGTCCTCAACACGGTGTCTGCAGTTTGTGGCGGTGATCTTGGCGTACGGCTTGCACATTTGGTTCGCTGGCTAATTCTGCGGTCGTGTGCATGATGCGTGCACGGCCTGCCCGGGAATCGCGCAGCGCAGGATCCCCCCCTGAGTGTGTGGTCTATTCGGATTAATCTCAGGAGTTTGCCCTGCAGCGGAAGGCTGCACTGCATCTGCAAGTGCTAGGTTTTGGGACCCTGCCGGGTTCGCGGCGGATGGTTTTTTGGCTTGTCCCAGCTCCTTCCTGCGGAGCGGGCTCTCTGGACGTACCTGGAGGGGGCGCCTGTCCAGTCGCTGCACCCATGGGCCACGCTGCCAATCAGAGGCGAGACGGATGACTTCCAGGACGTCTTCTCGGATGGCTCGGCTGACCCATCGGATGACCTCTGTTGGAGGGTCGCTGGGTCTGGTATCGTTTGGCGACAGGTGACCCCGTCTGGCGCAATTCAGTGCAGACGGTGCGCCACCCCTCTGCCAGGCCTGGTGCAGGCCATCACGAGGGCCGAGCTTCTCCCCCTGGCCCTCTTGGTCGAGAATGTCGTGCGGCCCCTCCGGGTCTTCATAGACAACAAGAGTGTCGTCTCGGAGGCCATCCTCCAGATCGCTGCAGGTGGCCGTGGCCTCCCGTGGCCGTGTGCCACCCGTCCGAATGGTGACTAGTGCAAGCGCTTGGACGCGGCACTGCGGGCAAGTCCGGGCTGCGCCGTGGCTGTGAAGAATGTGAACGGTTACGTTGACCCGTCCGAGGTGCAGAGCTCTTTCGAGGTGTACTGCCGCGTGGGGAACCATTTTGGTGACCAGTCTGCTCATCGTGGCCGCCGGCATCGCGAACCTTGCCGGGATCATTTCCGCGCTGCTGTGGAGAGCCGCGCTGCCGCAGTGCGCCGGGTGCAGACTTCCTTCCTCGGCGTGCAGGACCGCGTGCTGGACCAGCGGAGCGAGGCAGCGGAGGCCGCAGAAGCAGCGGGGGCCCCGCCTCCTGCTCCTGATAACGCGGACGACCTCCCACCTCAGCATCCCACGCTGTGGGGCGAGACTTTCTCCTGGTCCAACGTGGGCGCTACCGTGCCAGTTGGGTTGGCCCGCGGGCAGCTCACCCACGCGCCGCGTTTTCTACGATCGTCTTCTGAAGTGGTGGGGCGCCTCGGCCTGGCCCGTGCAACTCGCCTCCCGCCCCTGGTTTCGGGCAGGTTAGTTGCGTCGAGCTTGCGGTGCTTTTCGAACTTGCGACCCGCGCGCGGCTCCCAGTCCCGATCGACCGCAAGCGGCAGTGGCCTGACTTGGCCCCGTCTGTTAACGTGGTCCAGCGTACCCTCGAGCAGAAGAGCATGCTCTTTCTGGCCGCGCTGTGCATCTTGCAGAAGCATGCTGTTCGAGCGCGTGGTGAATGTGCGGCTGCGCGCAGAAGGGGCGGGACGGATTCCCTCGCCATGCGCCCTCGCACGCGGTGTCCTGCCTCGGTGTATCAGTTGGATCATGTTTTTTCGGATCCCATCAATGCGTTGAGCGCGTTCGCAGATGGATCGGCCCTTCGCGGCAGTCTTCGGTGGGGCGCCAGCCGTGGACGTCCTGGGCCGCGCGCCTACGGGTGATGCGCTGTTTGCGATCCTCGATCTCGGCATCGACCCGCCCGCTGACGCGGTCACGCTTGCGAGGCTTCGCGTTGGGAGCAGGCGCGAAGGCGCTGGGCGGCACCCCGTTGCGAACAAGGCCGCCGCGCAACGCGACGGCCGCGGCCTCGTGTTCTCCGACGCCGGCCATGTGCTTTACCTGAATCCCTGCTGCCTCAGCGGCCGCCCGCCGCCTCGCGCCGGCGGCCAGGATGCTCGGGCCCATGCTCGATCTGATGGCGCTGCTGCTGCAGCCAGGCTGCGGCTCATGTTGTGGTTTGGTCCGTGCGCAGGAACCGGTGCGCGGCCGCTCGTGGCTTCCTCGTCGGCCTGAGCATTGTTGGCGAGTGCTGGGGATGTTTCTTCTGCGAGCGCCGCGGCGACTCTGGCCGCTAGTCCGCGCTCTGGAAGAACGAGTGCCCCGGCTGGCCCTGCCGCCGCAGTGGCTCGAATGGTGATGGCGACGCTCTGCGGTGCGTGCGTGTGCCGCGGCTCTTGCCTGATACTTCCTGACATTCTATTCTTAAATCGCGCTCTCACTCGGGACTTCCCCGCAAATTGTCCAGGAATTGCGCTCTCGCGTGGGCTCCTGGCAATTTATTCAGTCGCCGCGCCCTCGACACTCAGGAATCACTCTCTCGCTTTGGCATTTTTCGAGATTTACTTTGGAATCGCGCTATCGCTCGAGCTCTCCTCGCGATTCAGGCAACACTCACGCTTTAGCAGCGCGCCTTCTCGACCTTGCCGCTTGGGCCCGCCTTCCCGCCCCGCTCGTCAGGGTCTACCCGCCGGATGGGCCCGCCTGGTTCTGCCACGTGTTTTTTGCTCTTAGCCCCCCTCTTGCGAATCCCGTGCTCCATCCTCCCCCCTCCCCTTTTCCATCCGTCCTGTCTTCTCCTGTTTCGGGGGCTGCACCAATTACACGCGGCAGGTAACGAAGATATACCCCCCAGGGGGGTACGATCGAAGACGAAGAGGGCGGGCACCGAGGTTTG